TAGGGTTCCGCTCTTCAATCCTTATATAACATATTTATATATAGTTTTCCATTTTGCCCTTGCACTTTCTTTAAATTTCATCTATGTCCCTAGTCAATTACCATAATGCCCTCTTTTATTGCTTCCTCCATGAAATTCTACTCTTTTCACTCTCTACACATTTTCAACTAATTGGAGTGAAAAGACCATTTTACCCCTATGAAATTTTAAGGCATTTTCTTCACATTTTCTCAAAATAACTTTATAAAATCAACTAAGGGTATAAGGTTATAAATTAAGTTACGTACCTCAATGTGGGCGTTACACATTGTCCTCAACTAGACTGAGTACAGAGCACTTGCTCAACTGCTATTGAGGTAGCCTGTTTAGACTATGTTTCTTTGAATTAGGCCTAAATTTTCCTCAACACCAGTAATATGGTGTGATAATTGTGTGCTGGAGCTCTTGCCTCTAATCCGGTCTTCCAGGCATGACCAAACACATTGAACTTGATGCACACTACATTTGTGAACAAGTTTTAGCCAAGAAGCTGGTGGTTCAATAGTGCCATCAAACTTCAAATTGCTGATCTCCTGACAAAACCCCTCTCAACTGCTCATATTCAGTGAGCTAAGACAAAATTGACAGTTTGATGGTTTTCCTTAAATTTGAGTCCTGGCTGCTGATTTTTTTTTTTTTTTTTTGTTCCTTCATTACTTCCCTGCATTTCTATCTTACTGCTTAACCTTCTGTAGCAACTGGAGTTTCAAGTCTACAGTTTAGTGTTTGATATGAATGGTGCAATATTGATAGTCTTTGTGCAGCACTGGTGTTTCAAGTCCACGTGGATTTTCAAATCTGCGGTTTAGTATCTGCAACTTGTGTATCAGTCTAGCAGTGATATTTCAAATCGCAGTTCAGTATCTGCACTTGTGTTTCAAGTCTGCAGTGATATTCAAATCTGCAGTTCAGTATTTGCAATTGGTGTTTTAAGTCTGCAGTGGTATTTCAAATCTGCGTTCATTTTTGCAACTTGTGTTTCAAGTCTGTGCAATGATATTTCAATTCTGCAGTTCAGTATCTGCACTTGTGTTTCAATTCGCAGTGATATTTCAAATCTGCAGTTAGCATCGGTAACTGTGTGTTTCAAGTCTGCAGTGGTATTTCAAATCTGCAGTTCAGTCTCTGCAACTGGTGTTTCAATTTTGCAGTGGTGTTTTTTTTTTTTTTTTTTTTTTTTTTTTTTTTTTTTTTTTTTTTTTAAATCTGCAGTTCAAATCTGTTTTTCAATCTGCAGTTCAATAGCTGCTCCCAGATTCTCCAGCCTCTGTTAGTTGTTCCAGGCTGCTTTCCACCATTGTGTCAGTTGCCCCATATCTGCATATTGGCGGCTGATATTTCTACTGTTTTGATGAAGTTTCTAGTGACTAATGCATGCTTGCTTCACCATTGTGTTAGTTGCTCTGCATATTGGAGCTGATATTTCTGCTATTTTGATGAAGTTTCTGGTGACTGATGTTTTCTGCTATTGCTGATTTTTTTTAATGAAGTGACTAGTTGTACAAGCATCTAGAGTTTCAATTTGGCACTGAAATTGGCAGTGAATGTTGCTGATAATTACGTCCTCAAACCAGATTTGGTTTGAGGATAGATGTTACATAAAGGGGTAGTGCAAAGATGTCAGGTACTCAAACCAGTTTGGTTTGAGGAGATGTTACATAAAGGGTGAAAGTGCAAAGTTGTCAAGTATTTTGATGCCTTAATAATGGTGTCAAAGTGATGTCGTTTTTAAGTAAAATTCAGTTTTACTCTGTAACAGTACATATAAAAGAGCCAATGCTCTTTCTCACTATATTGATTCGTAATCAAAGGATTACACACAAATCATGTTCTCTTCCTTTCTTCTCTAAATTTGTTCAGATTTGCTCATATTTCACAGGTAAGGAAGAGATGACAATATTCTTTGGAATTTTCTTCTTAAAATATATATATATAAATATATATATATATAATTAATATTATATATATATATATATATATATATATTCAGTTTTCCAAAACGGTTTTAATTAAACTCTTCTCTCAAAACCAGATTTTTTTTTTTTTTTTTTTTTGTTTTTATTGACGGGATCACATTTTATTGTAAAACCATCTTATGACACTTGCTCATTAAACTAAAAGATCAAATCCAGACAATTTACGCGAAAAAAAAAAATTATATCATAAGATATATATTATACCCATTTGATTATTTATTTCACTGACTCTTCACCAATCTTTAGACAGATGATTTTACTCTAAAATATTATCAATATTGGCTCCTAAATAATATTATTTGTAACAACTAGTAAGATATTGAGCTTAGGTTTATAGATGTTATGTCTATTTTGGACTTTATATTTTGTACAAAGTTTTATACGGAGTGAGAGATAAAGAGACCCACAACTTTCACAATGAAACATTTACATCTTATATTGAATGATGTTTGTGAAAAGTAATTATTATAATGAAACATTTACATCTTTATAAGAGTAAAATATACACGAAAAAATAAAAGTTTTTTATTTCCATATGTCTTAGTTAATTGTTAAAGTTTAATATTTCTAAATCATTTAATATATTTAATAATTTGATCATATGAAGAAGATAAAAATAAGGGCATATTAGTTGTTGCACCAAAATTCTGCATCCAAATAACTTTTACAAGCATCTATCAATTATGTAAAACCTCTCTATAGTGATACTCTATATAAGAATAAATTCTACATAGTCATAAAAATTCTAATCCCAATTTGAATAGTTTATAAATAAGAATAAACTCCACATTGTAATAAGTTTAAATTTTTTAATTCTCACTTAAGAAAGTTGTCTCTATATAGTAGTAATTATCTGTATATTACAAATAATATGTTAGTTTTACATTAAATGTTTAATATGAAATAAATATTTATTTAAAATTGTTTGAGACAAAAATTTATCTTTAAAGTTGTTACCACATCTTTTACCTTACGAGTACGTAATACCTCGCTAGATTGGACATCTTCTTGTTGACAAAATATTTTTAGCTTCTCAAGCATGTTTAGAGCTTCATAGCAAGAAACTTTTGTATTTCTGTACTTCATCCTTAGGATTATTTCCTTTCTCTTATTGTCTAATTGCAACAATAATTTCTTCTTTGGTTAAAGTATATATGATTTGTTTTCATTTGGATGATCGAGGAAAACATTAATTCTATTTGATTAGTGTAGGAAGATGTCGAATCTGATCCCTCAATTCTGCAATGACTCTTTTATCTCCTCATCCAGTTCATTTGTAACTAGTAATTCATCGACATTGGAAGTCCTATTTTGCAGTGCTTAAAACCATTGCAATTGTCCTGGCTTCACATCATATTGAACATGCATCAATTCATTACTTTCAGTTTTGATTAATAACAGAATCTTGTTACAAGCAAGCTTATATAGTGAGCTGCTGAAGAAGAAACAGAGTTAGTTACAGTGAGGTCATAGAGAAAGAACTGATTTCTATTTAGCAACAGAGAAGCCAACACTTATTTTAGTAAAGACTGGAGCTGAGACGACTGTGTTTTTAGTTCTTCATAGATTGTTCTTTAGTTGAAACGGCAACGTTTCTGTGCAGCCTTTTATATTTAAGACGGCATCGTTTCACAAACCAACAGCCTCCCTTAAGCTAAACAGCAGTCTCCTCTTCTCAGACCAACAGTTTGGAGCCTTATGACTTCAAGATATATAAGCCAGATTTACAATAAAACCACGAGGCGCATCAAGCAAAATCTCCACTATAATAAAGGGGTTTACAATAAAAATAGTCCCAAATTTCACCCAAAATTTGAGACACCTAAAAACATGAGAGATACAAAGGACCTTCTGAACAAGTCCACGCATCAAGCAAAATTTCCACTATAATAAAGGGGCTTACAAGAAAAATAGTCCCAAATTTCAGCCAAAATTTGAGACACTAGAAACATGAGAGATACAAAGGACCTTCTGAACAAATCCCAGACTCAATAATTTCCTCTCACACTCACAATGAGTGGAACCTCTCACAAACACAACCCAAATAACAACACTGATTTCTTTTCCTAAAGCTCTTAACTTTGCTGCTTCTCACTACACACGCAAGTCTTGCATGAGCTCTTCTATTTATAGAGATTTTCAGCTGCAATTTCAATAGTTAATAGCCGAACTATTAATTGAGCTTACACCCAAAAGTCTTGGACGATGCAGACTGCAGAGCTTTGACAGAGAAAAAAAGGATGCAGCAGTTTCTTTCACGTTGTGGAGAAAGGCAAAAATAATCAGCTCATGCTTAACCTGCCTATGAATGAGCTGGGCCCCATCAAATCTAATGGGTTGGATCCCATCAAATCTCCCCTTCTAGGCCCGTTAACTAAAGGAGGACTTCAACTGAGCTCTTAAAAGGTAGGAGTATTCAAAAGCGGTTAACCGCTTTTCTAAACCGAACAGGATTTTCGATTCGAAAAAATTTTCAAACCGAAATCGAACCGATTTTAGAAAAAACTTATTTTTTGGTTAACCAAAAAACCGATTAACCGTTTTAAAAAAAATGGTTAACCGGTTTTCCCTTTTTTTTTTTAATTTTGTCCTAAATTTAATGGTAAATATAGACAATACATTGGGAACTAAGAAAAAAAATTTGGGTTGGGATTTTAGATTCAGTGAATTAGAGATTTATTTTAGTTTAGGTTATTATTTATTTATTTATTTAATATATATATATATATATTTTTTTTTTTTAGAAAAACCGATTTAGAAAACCGGTTTTCAGTTAACCGTTTCTAATTTCTTCCGAACCTGTAACCGAACCAAAAATTTGGTTTTTTGAATTTTTTGAACCGTAACCAAACCGTTTTTTCGGTTAACCAGTTTTTTTGTTCGGTTCGGTTTTTGCATTTTTTTGAACACCCCTACTAAAAGGAGTCCATACTGGACAGCTCCACGCATAACTCGAACTTGTCCCGAGGTACCACTTTCGTCATCATGTCTGAAGGGTTTCTGTCTGTGGAAATCTTCTTGAGCTTTAAAGTGTTGAGTGAATCTTTAACGGTGTCGCATTGCATCTGCCTCTATGCTGCCGTTTTGGAGGTATCTTAAATGAGAAATCTCAACCTTTGAATCTAGCATAATCCAACGGTTCAAAGCAGTCCAACAAGTCAAACTATTTAAGGCTGAGTTTCGAGAGAAATGCACAATAGAACAATTTTCCCTTCTCGCATTATTCGACTTTGCTAGGCTTCTTCGTTTAGGCTCTCTTCAAATCTTGTAATCGGTTCACAATTGGTGAAAATTGTGGGTAGAAGAAATAGGTCTTTTCTTCTGGCAGAGACACATTGTATAGATTGTCTTGTTAGTTGCGGTTACAGGCTGATTTGAGGGAATTTTGTTCGAGTGAGAGATTTGGGTATTTTGTGTTGATTGGCTTGTAATTTGTACGATTTTGATCCTTAGAGTGTAATGAGCCCCAAATTACTTGGAGCTCAACGTGGATGTAGTTTATTCTATTGTAATAAATGAACCACGGTAAAAATCTCTTGTGCTCTTGTTTTTCCTTTCTTGCTTGATTCGTGTGTTAGGTGTGTTTGATAATGGAATCAATTAGGATTGAGTTTGATTTAAACCCAATAGTGGTATTAGAGCTCAAATTAGGGTTTTTCTGGTCTGTCTTGGTTGTTCGTGAAACCTAGGGTTTATACAAATTAGGGGTTTCTTGATAATCGGTCAAATTGGTAACTCAGGGCTTGAAAAACCCTAGATTGTCCTGTGGAATTGGTCCGAATTTGATCCTAAACCTTTTTTAGGGTTTCCTGTGTCAACCCTAAAACCAAACACTAACCTTCACTATGACTACTACACGAGTTGAAATCACCCCATTCGATGGGAAAATTGATTTCAACAATTGGAAAAAAAAAAAAAAAAAATGAAGGCCTTATTATCACATAATAAGGTAGCTCTTGCTCTAGAGAAAGATATAACCAAATGGTCAGAGGAGAAACTGAAAAAGAAAGCAGAGGTGGACGAGGAGGCATACAACCTAATTATAATTAACCTCTCTGACAGTGTCCTGAGAAAGGTAGACAGTTTTGAAATTCCGATTGTCGTATGGGGTAAACTCAAATCCCTTTATGTTTTACAGTCTGCTCCTAACTTAGCTTACTTAAAAGGTGTTATGTTTTCATATAAAATTGATAGCTCTAGGACTATTGATGAAAATCTTGACGAGTTTTTGAAAATGACCCAAGTGTTGAAGGGTACATATTAAGAACTCGGAGACTCTAGCTTAGCCATGATCTTGCTAAATTCCTTGACCAAAGATTATTAGGTTGTAAATAATGTCCTTCAATACATTGATATTGTTCCAAGCTTAGACCTAATATTCTCAGGACTAAAAGCTAGAGAATTAAAGCTTCAGGTTCAAAGAAGAACAGGCAATAATCTGTTTGTTAAGGGAAAAGGTTAATTAAACTAGTTGGCAATGCTGCCCAGTCTGATAATGGCCCTAGGAACAAGAGAAGTGAAATGGATCGAAGGACGGACAAAAATAGAAATGAAGCATGCAACTATGAATTAACTTGGTTGGATATAATTAATTGAATAATAATTATCAACGCCTCATCCTGATCATAGGACCAAATATGGACGGTCAGATTATATGACAATGTGCGGCGCATGAAACATCATACATATGAAAAGTGTTGTAGCAAAGATCTTGGACAGTGTATCCTTTTTTAACGTAAACCGAAATTAGGAAGATAAATAAAGTTAAAATGTGAAAATTCAACAATGCCCCCGTTTCAAGGATTGTCCTTTAAGAAGACAACAAAAGGGTCCTATTCTTGTCACCATCTCCATTTGCATCTGTGAGAAAAGCCAAAACCAAGGTTATTATTGTAAATTAATAAAAAAAATTGCTATCCTTCTTCTGTGGACCGAAGGGAAAGTGTTGGACACTTTGCTTTGATCAATTGTACTTTATATATACATCTAGAATATATCCATGTGTTATTGATAAGGGAATGGTTATAAAGTATAGTCATAACTAAGAAATCAAAGTTAAAACATGAATAATAGAGGGCGGATCTTTTATACTCGCAAAAATCGATTATAAGAATCAGTTGATACTTGATTTTGATGCCAACGATTTTACACACGTAATACGTTAAGGGATTACACGTGGGTTGATTGTGAAGAGAGGATTATGGTGGTGGTGAGAATTAATGCATGCAATTATGTAAAACAAAGTTGACAAAGAGAGTTTTAAAGTGTTTCAGAATTCAGATGCTTAAAAGAGAATCCTATGTCCAATAATTACATTTCTTTTTTGATCTCATTGATCGTTTGTCAGGTTTACAAGTATAGCGACCTGCGATCAATGCTTACAAATAGTGTTTTGTGTTTTTACTTTGCGTATGATTTCTGTGTGTTTGAATCCCTTTTTTGTGAGAAAAAGTCCTCTATTTATATCTATTTTTTCTCAAGGTAATGAGTATTTTTGCAAGTGGCTCGATGGTATGAAAATTCTTTTTGTTTCCTTATTGACTATAAGCTGTTAGAGATATCCTTAAATTTAATAAAGCTTAGACAGGTGTGCGATCCGGACACATTTAAGCACACACTCTCGGGTCGGTTTGAGTCTTTGGTAGCTGTTTTGCAGCTGTTTTTGAACACGTGTCGTGACCTAGACGATTATGAAGCTCACTAAATTCTGATTCGTTGCAATGACGTCAGTCCTTATTTTTAAGGCATAACAATGTACAAGCTAACACTCTCCAACAGTCTGTTTCTTGCAGTCAAGAAGTTCCATAACTCTCCAAATATTTCAGAGCAGTTTTTGTTTGAAGCGAAGATTTTGATAAAATTGAGACATTATAACATAGTGCAACTCCTTGGCTTCTGCATAGACTCACAGGAAAGGTGTATACGAGTATTTATCAAATGGCAACCTCTATGACTGGCTACATCCAGATGAAGGCGAATCAAGCAACATAGATTGGCCTTTGAAGGTGAAGATTGCAATTGGAGTAGCAAGAGGTTTAATTTTGCTCCACAAGAAATTTGGGATAGCCCATCTGGACATAAGCTTCAAATGCATATTACTTGATCAGTATTTTGAGCCTAAGTTATCAAATTTTAGACGGGCAATGCACTTGAATCAAAATTCAGATCGCATTTCTCAAATGAATTATGTAACGGACGATGTTTATAGCTTTGGAGTAGTACTTCTTGAGCTGATCACAGGTAAGGAAGATGAAGAAATTGAATATTATCTTTCAAAATGCTCATCTTTGCCCCATGAAGATGTAATTGATAAGCCTCTAATTGTTTGATCATTCGACAGCAAGGTTTTTCAGTTCCTTGACGTTGCATGTCAGTGTATTCAGCCCTTTCCAGATCAAAGGCCAACAATGCTTCAAGTGTACATAACACTTGGTGCTATCGGAGAGAGATATGGCCTTGTTGATACTTCTGAGGCTATGATGCGAAATGAATTTGCTACTGAAGATATTAGTGATGAATGTATTGATGAAGAAGAAATAACAGAACTCACATGAACACGTACGGGAGATACATGCATAAGTGTGAGAATCCTAGGATCGAATGAGAAGAAAAACCAGAAAGCCATAGTACTTTCCAGAGAAACAAACAGAAAATCTTGAGAGAAGATTGAATTTTCCAGAACTGAACTTTATTTACTTCAGCTTAGTTCACAAAGAATTCTTGAACTCCTTTTATAATAAGTGTCTCTTACAGACTTAGCAAAGAAACACCACTGATTTAAAAAGAAACACAAAGTGACTGCCTTTTAACTGTTGATCACATTTTCAGACTTGCTGAGCTTCAGATGAAATAAACCCGGAAACCCTGTAGCTTTAATCTAAAACTGTTGAAGTTGTGAGCTTCATAAGTTCCAATAAAGGGATTTAACGCCGCTTAACAGAAGCTGTAGGATATAATGAACATGTTTTAGTTGCAATAATTGGGTCAACAAACACATACGCCTCTTATTAATTAGAAACAGGATATTTAATACAAAGAGTGGAAACAAAATGCACAAAAAGGCCTGAATTACTCCCGAGCAACTACAACTACTTGTTTTCCAATATTGCGTCCATTAAATAGGCCTACAAGAGCAGCAGGAGCATTTTCAAGACCTTCAGCAATGTCTTCAAGATAAACAATCTTCTCTTCTCGGATCAAAGGCAACACAACCTCTAGAAACTTCGAATATTGAGGAAAGTAATCGAAGACGATAAATCCTACCATATGAATCCGCTGATAAACAATGTTCATCAAATTGCATACACCTTCAGACTGGCCAAGATTGTACTGTGAGATCATTCCACACACCGCGATTCGACCTTGAAGTCTCATGTTTAGAAGCACTGCATCCAGCATTTTTCCTCCTACGTTGTCGAAGTAAATGTCAATTCCTTCAGGAAAGCACCTGGAAAAGAAAATAAATGATTTTGAGTTTGATGGGGGGCATGCCCCTGCTTCCATTTCCCCTGGTCCTGAAACTTTATATATGCAATGAAACTTACCTTCTCAAAGCCGCATCCAAGTCATGCTCCTCCTTGTAATTGAAAGCATCATCAAATCCCAACTTGTTCTTCAGAATTTCAACCTGATGACATGTTCCAGAAGAAATATTTGAGAATCAAACTTACCAACTCTCTACCTAAAACATAACCTCATCATTTCGAAAACCCTGACAGATTTTCAATGAGAAAGACAAGCATGACCAGAAACTTGAAGTTTTATTATTGACTTGTCAAAAGGGCAAACACCTTCAGAACATATATCGAAAAGAAGTATTGTGTTTGTGATAATTGGCTCACTTTTTCTTTACTTCCACACTTCCACAACATAGCAACCCATTAATTTTGCAAATTGCCCAACAAGCTGACCAACTGCACCTGATGCCGCCGAATGTACACATATTCTCCTTCCTTTGGAGCACAAACTTCATAGAAGCCAGCCCAAGCAGTAAGGCCAGGCATACCTATAAACAAATAAAAACACAAAAGAATACAGAGTTTATATATCACCAACATCATTATACAAAAAAAAAAAAAAAAAAAAAAAAAGGGTCAATCTCTCATGTTGAATCCTTATTTTAAAAATAAGAATCAAGTTAGTTTCATGAATTATCTAGATCTCCTCTCCCTTTGCGGAGGCAATTATGAGGTTTACCAAAAAAAAAAAAAAAAAATATCTAAATCTCCTGGACACAAAAAAAATATTCAACAAATTTGGGAATTTTCATCTCTAAACAAGAATCAAATTATTTATTGAACACATGAAGGTACTCATAAAACCTTGAAATCATCTGGAGAGGAACAGAAGACTCACCAAGAATTCCAGTATAATAGGATAAGGGACATCATCAGTGTGATGGTTTGAAGATGCTTTCAGGATTCTTAATGACGCTGTATTCTTCCCATCCAACAGTTCCCCAAACCAAGTCCCTTTCTTAAATTCTGGATACCCTGAACCACAACTTTAGCTACACCAAACCCTTCCAGTGGCTGCATGCATTCAACTTAAAATGCATCAGAAAGCTTGCAGAATATATATATATATATATATTTATATATATATATATATGGAGTATTTGTTTTAATAAAATGCTTACAGAACTGGGTTGGAAAGAAACGAAACCAGGATCTTTACTATGCTTCATGCGGAATCTCATGCGAGGATCACAAGACAAGTAAAGATTCTTAACAACAACTGCATTTGAACCTTCTTCTACTTTCAATGATATAGAACTAGTTTTCACCGCCATGTCTGATTCTCTTGGAAACCCTTCAACGAACTGCTTGAATATGACTTGCTTATTGCTTATAACTTCACCACCACTCGCCATTTTTGGTTGATTTTATGGTTTCTTTAAGCATAATTTCTTTTGCTGCATGAGTTGTATTTATATATGGTTGCCTGATAGTTGTTTTCTTTCATCGTTTTCGATTTGAATTCTATTTAAAATAATATAATCAAGTGAATGATTTGCCTGTAAAGAGTGGGTTTGATTGATATGAGATCATCACTGACGATTTTTAAATATCCTCTTCCAGTCAATTTAGACTAAGTGTTCGTCAAAACTCAAAATGATGGAAATTTCAAAAAATAACTCTCAATTTCAGCCTTAGCCGTCGCCGCCTCAGGCGGCTTTAAGTGTGTTTGTGTAAGGGTTTGTTTTGGTGACGGCGTAGGCTCACTGGGAATCGTCACTCTATGAAATTGAAGAAGAAAAATGGTAGCAGAAGGGATTTTCTCCGGCGTATGCTGGAATTAGAAGACATCGTAAATCCATCTACCGGCGTCCTCCGATCTGCTGGGTTGTTAGGAAGTGAAGATGGGGGAGAAGCCCCCATGAGTGTGGCTGAGAAGGGAATGGAAGAAACTCCTTTGGAGGGAAATCCAGTCGAGAGGCTGGACGGGAATGGGAAGAATACCAGTGCTAAAACTCTTGAGGTAATTAGGAGACAGCCTCGCATTGTTGCTGAGTCGACTACTTTGGAGAAGGGAGGCGCGTGCAGTGGCATCTCAACGAGTCAGCAATGGTGGTGTAAGGACATTCACTCAAACTCCGTGAGCGAAGATGATGATTGCCTGGATCGCTCAAGGAGTCCAATGGCGCAAAGCAATCGAGCCACAGGGGTTGTAATGGCTAAGCCGGCGGCAGGACTAGAGCAGGGAGTGCCGGTGGCGGAATTGGTTTGGGCGTAAAATTTGGAAATGAGAAATGGGGCTGGATTGATGGACTCGGGTCGAGGGGGATCGAGTTGGATTCGTGGCAGGAACGACCCGGATTCAGGAGTTGGGTTGTGGACTAGATCAACACATGGGGGATGGGCCTCACATGAATGGAGAATTTTTGGGCCAAGCTGGAGCTGCTAAAGGTAGTGGAAAATTTTTGGGCAAGTTGACGCAAATGAACAGGCTTGTGGGTCGGATACCAACAAAGCAGGCTTGTGGGTCGGATGATGGACGATTATTTAATATCCGAGCAATTTTATGTTTACAACTAAGATGTACAATCAAGCAAAAAATAAATGATAGAGTAGTCATTTTATATAAATTTTACATAATTTTTGTTTGGTTGTATGACTCAATTGTAAGCAAAATATTATTGTTAATATCCTCTTTTTTTCAATTTACACGTTGATATTAGTATACACCCTGCTAAATGAAGAAGCAAGGTGGAATAGAGATTTGAAAGCCTTGGAAATTCGTCCTCTTTAGCACTCTTCATGGTATGATATGGGATCCTCAAAGGTTTTCTAGAGAGTAAAAATATGTTGTTTGGTACAAAAGAAAGTTGAGAGAAAATTTATAGATTGCTGATCTTAAAAGAAATTTTCTTATATATATATATATATAGTTCATAAAAATGTGTTCATGTTACATCGGCATTGTTCATAAAATGTATGCTACGTACAACCTAGGATTTATTTAAAATATAAGAACTTGTTTGAAATAAAATTCTTCTCATTCATAATTTTTTTAGCATTCTTTTATCAGTATATCCTATTAATATACGTATATGGTACTCATATTGGCTGCAACAATAGTAAGTCAAGCTATGATTTCAGGACCAGTATGACCTATTAATTAAAAAGTGCACCTAGTAAATCAACCGATCAATATATAATGGTTCCTTCATGCCTCCGAGAGCTGATAAAACTGCCATTGATATTTGAAGGAACATGAAGAATAGCATAATCATAAAACTATAGCGTGGTTACCACATACAGGCTTATAGCTCATCCATTTATCCGAATCCACCAAGCTTTTATATCTTAGTTGTATTTAGATCCCAGTTTTAAAGCAATATATATCAAAATATGTCGTTTTAATCACTTTATGAAAAGCAATCCTCCTATTACTTATATATATATACGCTTTCTTTCGCTGCATAAGATCCCTAAACTGTCTACTTTACACGCGGTATGGACAATAGGTAGTCCATACCGAGTATAAAACAAACAGTTCAACAGTGCCATGCTTTAAGGAATGCATGAAAACCCCCTCTTTGCTTTTCTTCCTTACCGCCCTACAAATGTTACCTCTTTTACTTTAGTTGAATTTATATCCCAATTTTGAAGATGTAATTAAGCACTATTTATAGTGTAAGGGTTAGTAAGAAGAGATAAAATGAATGAAGGTAAGGTAAGGATGAGTTAGAGGGCGTAAATGGTGCTTGCAATTAAAGTGGGTAGAATGTGGCTAAGGCTATAGAATACTCTACAAGCCCAATGAAGGCCAAATGACTTGCGCATACCCAAGGTTTACTAAAACGACAAGTTAGTACCCAAAAGGTTTTGAAACAACAAACAGGTACCTTCCGTCATGTACTGTTAGTGATTTCTGTTTGTTCATAGTGAAAAGACTAAAATGCTCTCAAAAGTTTGATATTTTATTTTTTTTATAAATTTCTAAAAAACTCTCTAGGTTTGCTAATTTAACTAAACACCCCTATATATAAAAATTTTGTTAAATGACAAAAATACACTCACACCTACAGTGCCAGATTCTGGCCACTACTGCCAGAATCTGGCCGTAAATTGTGTTACGACACAGACCCCATCGGATCTGTGTCGTAACGCGTCAATCTAGCCTTTTCCAGCCAGATCCGTGGCTAATCTGGCCGAAAAAGGCCAGATCTACAGCCAGATCTGGCTGTTGACACCGTAGACGGAGTTTTGCGGCCACGATGGCCAGATTTAGCCGTAGATCTGGCCTTTTCCGGCCAGATCAGCACGGATCTGGCCAGAAAAGGCCAGATCTGGCCGTCGAGGCCGCAAAACTCCATCTGCTGCCTAGACGGCTAGATCTGGCCTTTTCCGGCCAGATCTGTGGCGGATCTGGCCGGAAAAGGCTAGATCGACACGTTACGACACAGATCTGATGGGTTTGTGTCGTAACGCAATTTTTCGGCCAGATTCCGATGGTGGTGGCCGGAATCTGGCACTGCAGGTGTGAGGGTGTTTTTGTCATTTAACAAACTTTTTATATATATGGGTGTTTAGTTAAATTAGAAAACCTAGAGGGTTTTTTTAGAAATTTTTAAATTTATAAAAAACTAAAGTATCAAACTTTTAAGGGCATTTTAGTCTTTTCACTATGAACAAACAGAAATCACTAACAGCACATAACGGAAGGTACCTGTTTGTCGTTTCAAAACCTTTTATGCACCAACTTGTCGTTTCAACAAACCTTGGGTATGCATAAGAATTTCGGCCGCCTAATGAACTAAGTTAGTTGTACAAATGTGGTAGATATCTCTCATGCGACTCAAACACAAGACCCCCTAAAGTATAGTTAATCTCAATGACTAAAAGGTTTGACACCCAACGACAAGAGAATAGGATTTTTTTGCACCTTTTCTATATACTTAGATGGTTAATTATATCAAAAGAAATATCATTTTTATCACCTTAGGATGTTAAATAATGAAGTATATCAAAACTTAAAACGCTTTTGTGCCTCCATGGTGTATACATTAAATATTGGCAATAAGGGATTATATTATTAACACTATTCTATTTCATTTTAAGTACTATCTTTTGCCTTCATGGTCTATTATTTAATTATATTGAATGATACTATGGTTCTGTTTGGTTCACCTTTTTGCATTTTTTAGAATTTTTTTTTTTAAAAAGTTAAAAAAAGTTGAATTGGGCAGGTATTACGATGTAGGATTTGAAAATTAATAAAAATACCCCTTATGTTTGTTTATTTACTAAACACCCCCATAAGAAAACTTTGAAAGTTAACAAAAACACCCCCAACCTACCCATTGAATAATCACAACCGACCACCACCGCTAGAGGGTGGTCGGAGTTGCTGTATCGGCGTATGACCGACTGGATCTTGTCGGTCATGCGCCGATATGGCCTTTATCGGCCAGATCTGAGGTGGATCTGGCCGACAAAGGCTAGATCTATGGCTAGATCTGGCCTTTGACGGCCAGATCTGGCTGCATTTGCTCGTCAACGACGACCAAAGATACGACCATCATTGACGTCTGGTTACGGCCAAAGATCTGGCCGTTGTCTTAGATCTGACATTTTCCGGCCAGATCCACCGTGAATCTGGCCGGAAAAGGCTAGATCGGCGCACTATCGGCCAGATTTAGCCAGTAGTGTGCCATTATATCAGATTCTGGCTAACTTCCGACAGTGGTGGCCGGAATCTGGTATAATATGGGTTTAGGGGTGTTTTTGTAATTTCAAAAAAAATATTTAGGAGTATTTAATTAAATTAACAAATTTAGGAGGTTTAAAAAAAGTTGAATAATATTGGATAATATTGTGAGTTTTTGGACATTTTACTGTTTAACTTTTTTGAGAATGCTAATAATAGTATTCCCAAAAACTAACCAAACGAAACCTATATTACTTGTTATTTTAATGATTAGTCTAAATCTAAAATATGTAATTCATTATAAACAAAAGATATGGACTACTAGCTTATACTTTACGGGATTGACTTATACTTGGAAAATTTGGTTGATTAATCTACATCATTATATTAATCAATAATGACCTATGTTTTCTTACGAGAATTCTCAAACCACGGGTGTCCATATTTTTTATATTTTAATATTCATTGAGAGATGTTAACAAATAACAAGATCAAGATTATTAAAACACTTTTGTGCCTCGACAGACTGTTTTTCTATTCTTAATGTATGGTGCTATATGCACAAACTAAATATATAAACTAATACATACAAAATAATGCGGTAATACTCTTCTACTAACACGTCATTAATCTGTATTTACTGAATATTATTTAAATAAATTAACTTTTTGCAAGCATTCATTAATTTATTCTTTCTATGACACATAAATTGTATAAAAGAATTAGTACAAAAGTTTTTACATCTAATATTAAGAATCGTTTATATTGTTCTATTCATTCTTACTGTATCATTGAAGACTTTCTCTGCACTAGCAGTGTAATTTACAAGGGTTGACTTAGAAAGTTGACTCATTGACCTGTTTACTTCACGCGTTTTCTAATTTGATATAAATACTTCATATCATATACACTTTGCTTCCTCGCTCCAATGTAAATGGCTTTTATTTTACGAGCTTTCATTCTTCTTTTTTTCTACACATTCGTCTGGAATCTTTCTTGCATCACGCCTCTCTTCAGCAGTAGTACTGATGAATATAGCGATGTCCAGTGCCTAAAATCCATTAAAGATTCCTTGGAAGATCCATTCAATCACTTAACATGGACTTTTGAACACCTCACAGCAGGTTCCTTCTGTAATTTTGTTGGGGTTGAATGCTGGCACGATCAAGAATTCAAAATACTCAATCTTAGTCTCTCTAACATGGCGCTCAAGGGAAAGTTTCCTCAGGGTTTGGAACATTGCAAAAGCTTGCAGTTTCTCGACCTTTCAGGGAACCATCTTTATGGAACAATCCCACTTGAAATCTCCCAAAATCTTCCGAATCTTATATCACTAAACCTCGCCAACAACTCATTCTCTGGTGAAATCCCATCAACTTTAGCCAACTGTATTTATCTGAATATGCTTGAACTTGACCATAATCAGTTAACGGGTCAAATCCCTCAGCAACTTGGTCAGCTTGGAAGGATCAGGGTGTTTAATGTTTCAAACAATATGTTGTCAGGTCCTGTGCCTAATTTTCCAGTCCCCGAAGAAAGCTATGCCAACAACACAGAACTTTGCGGAGAGCCTCTGAAACCATGCGAAGGGAAAGGGGGAAGCTTCAAATTTGACTTCTCATTCGAAAGTGGATTTGTGGCTGGTTTTGTGTTTTCTGCAGTTTCATTTATAATTAGTTTTGTGTCCTGTGTGTGCTTTGGGCATATCTAAAGAATAGGAAAAAGATAGAAATACACAAATTTAGGATCCACACATTATTGAGTTTTTCTAAGTTTTCAGAGATTTAGCGACACATTACATTAGTGAACATTATAGTATTGTATTTTGACAAGGAATGAATATATGAAGTAAGGTTACTCTCCCTTGTAATCGAATGATAAACTCTTTAGTCATTCGGGTTAGCTATATTCAAAGGGTCTTGCATTCGAGAGCAAGAGAGATACCTACACATTTGTGCAATTATCTCGGTCTATTGGATTTATAGGGTGTTCCGTGACTTTGAGGATTACATAGGCTCCAATGTGAACCTGGATAGCTCAATTACTTATATATATATATATAAAGGTTAAAGAGACTCATTTTCTTTTTCTACATAAATTTTGATACAATTTTTTAATTGTTAAATTAATAATTTTAATAAAATTGATATAGTATTTTTGTGATATATAAATTTTCCAACCAAGAAACAAATGTTTTTTGTAAGAAATTCTCCAATGAAGTGATTCCATTGGCTTGACTGAAAATGTTTTGCACATTTCTGTATAATTTCCCTGCAATTGCTAGAGTTGATTTTTGGTTCTGTTTTCCATGTGATTTTAAAATGCTATTAGCATATACCTTAAGAGACTTTGACTAAAAAAGAGGTAATTGCTCAATCTCTTCCTTAATTAGTTGAACATTTATATCAAAAATCAGTTTATTCTACAAATATTGGCATTTAAAAAAATACAAACCTCGTTAAATTGTGTCAATAAATAGTTTTTTTGGTGTTATTGAACCACTAGAAAGTAAAAATTCGATGAAACTTTCTCTTTTCGTATTTATTGATGTCATCTAATGATCTGAACATCTCTATTTGAGAATGTTTGATTATATTGTATTTATCTTCTTTAACATAAGACCGAACGACTTACGCATACCCAAGGTTTGTCGAAACGATAAGTTGGTACCTAAAAGATTTTGAAACGACAAACAGGTACCTTCCGTCATGTGCTGTTAGTGATTTCTGTTTGTTCATAGTGAAAAGACTAAAATGCCCTTAAAAGTTTGATATTTTAGTTTTTTATAAATTTAAAAATTTCTAAAAAACCCCCTAGGTTTGCTAATTTAGCTAAACACCCCCACATATAAAAAGTTTGTTAAATGACAAAAACACCCCCACCACCTACAGTGCCAGATTCCAGCCACCATCGTTGGAAATTGGCTGAAAAATTGCGTTACGACATAGACCCGTCGGATCTGTGTCGTAGCGTGTCGATCTGGCCGGAAAGGCCAGATCTACAGCTAGATCTGGCCGTCATGGCTGCAAAACTCTATCTGTTAATATTAAGGTTAAAGAGACTCATTTTCTTTTTCTACATAAATTTTGATACAATTTCTTAATTGTTAAATTAATAATTTTAATAAAATTGACATAGTATTTTTGTGATATATAAATTTTCCAACCAAGAAACAAATGTTTTTTTTAAGAAATTCTCCAATGAAGTGATTCCATTGGCTTGACTGAAAATGTTTTGCACATTTCTGTATAATTTCCCTGCAACTGTTAGAGTTGATTTTTGGTTTTGTTTTCCATGTGATTTTAATATACCTTAAGAGACTTTGACTAAACAAGAGGTAATTGCTCAATCTCTTCCTTAATTAGTTGAACATTTATATCAAAAATCAGTTTATTCTACAAATATTGGCATTTTAAAAAATACAAACCTCGTTAAATTGTGTCAATAAATAGTTTTTTTGGTGTTATTGAACCACTAGAAAGTAAAAATTTGATAAAACTTTCTCTTTTCGTATTTATTGATGTCATCTAATCTAATGATCTGAACATCTCTATTTCAGAATGCTTGATTA